AAATATACATACAAATTATTCCAAGATCTTTTTTACAACTTATTGAAGATGAGCTTCGCCCTCTCTAACCTTCTAACTTCCTGTCCTGGCGTAACAAGTTGCCTCACTGGTTTCACGTACGATTTCATTTTCAAGTCTTTTTTTACTGCTCTTTGGACTTTCATGGCTGAAACTCCTCTCTCACGTACCAAACGTCTTATGAATTGAGTTGAATCTTTTCAAATTGATCTCTTTAGCTCTAAGTTGAAATGATGATCCCTCTTCCTGTTGTGAACTCATGATCCAGTTTTCATCTCTACTTCTCCCTCTTTTTTAACCTAATTTACCGTTCTCTTCACGGTTCTTGAATGGACTTTGAAGATGTAAGTCAAGTAATGAATATTAATACCATTACTGATGGCCAGAATGATTTTTCCTCTCAGCATTGCTCAGTTGGTAAGTCATAATGAGGCTGAAACAAAACGATTTTAACTTGTTCCCTTTCTAGCTGAATAAATCAAAGGGTTTTTCAGTGATTCTTACCAAAAATGGTCTCAAGATTGCTAAAAGTCTTATCTGAAAACCTGAAAAAAAAACTCAATTAGTTTAGTATTGTTTTTAGATATTAAACATTTTGTGGTATGGACAGTTAACCCGTGCTGTTACACCCGAGACACACTGCGTGCCAAATTATTATCGAGATAACTTTTCAAATAACAAATACGGCGCCAGTTTCTTTACATTGCGCAGATCAGTACGAAAACTTCAGTGATTGCGAAGGTCTGTGTTGCCAACATTGCGCGAAAATTTTGTGTGAATTGATTGGAGGGTTTTTGAAATATTAGAAAAAAAAGTTATCTCGATAATAATTTGGCACGCATTGTATATAATATTCAATTTGATTATCTATATTATTATATAATATCCTATTTGTCTATATTGTTTAATATATTTTCTGTTTATACGTTATTTTTATAGATACAATTTATTATGTCTTCTTTGACTCTGTATTCCTATACGGAAACCGTCATTTGATCTGATTTGCTCTACTATTTAGCTACAGAGAAGCGTCTGGTTAGCTAAGTCCAAATTATAGTTTCTAAACGCAATCTTCGACGATTTTTCTCGATCGATCATATCTGTTCATGAAATTGTTGTTGATTCCCTATTTAGTGCCCTTTCTATATATTTACACGTACATTGTGACTAAGGACGAAAATTGCTTAGGCCCCACGACCTCTGTCACACTGGCTTTGGTATCCACTAGCATTCCCTCCTTAGAGCAATCAGTGAGGTACTATGATTTCCCTTTCAACGCTGATAGTCGTAACCCTGCTTTCACACACACACATACACACACACATTCACATACGCATACACGCACACATAAAATATATAGATAGATTAGATAGATTTGGGAATATTATATATCTATTAACTATATTGTTATGTTTTTGTTTTTACTAGTGTCCACTGTATACTAGGCCCAAGAGCCACTCAAGGTAGAATGTTACTGAAAGAGATTGTTGTATTAGCGATAAGAGTAAAAGGTTTATATAAGGAAGATAACGGTTAACGATATATTTAAAAAAGGTTAAGATTATAGTGGTCGAGAAAGCATCCTCTTGTCAATCAGTTCCAGAAAGAAAACTTTCGTGGGAAGAATCTGTTCAAGTAGAACTTCCTACTTATTAATCGAATACGAAAGGAATGTGGATGGTTCGCTTCAGTGGACGTGACACAGGGGTCCTAGCTGTGAAGGTCTGAACTGGTATAACTAAAGAGTAAAGCTTGTTTGAACATTTTCCATGGAAATAGCGATGGAGTAGCGAAAGACAGCAATGTTTCGTCTATGGGGAAAATGTGGAAATAATTCATCACCCACAAAACGGCAGAAGATTTTGCATTTTACAAAACTGTAAAGTGAAAACTGGTCAGCACCAGTCCTAATATGGAAACAGGACTCCATTTTCGGTCCGATCTGGTTCTTGTCTGGCAGGAGAAGTCAGATAGTTACTGGGCCGCTACAAGAAACCGATAGTTTTTTCAGCATCTTTAGCAACGGATCGTATATACGACTTCTCCTTCTGGAGACATTCAAGGCAATGGGGCCTCCTTGAGAGAACACCAGTTCATCGCGATAGCCGAAAAGTCAGGGTCATCCCAGTGGTGATGGAACGTTACTAGTTTGGTTTACTAGTGTTGATTTATTGTCTAATGCTTCTCTGGTTCTGTGCGTAATGACAGTTAGGATATCCGCAGTAGGCCTAAAAGAGTTCCGTTTTATACAAAATAACTCATATTTGCCTCCCTTGACAATGACTACCTATTGATAGGTGACGATCAAAAAGAAAGAATTCCTCTACTTAAATCATTCAGAATTTTAAAATATCCGGAGAAAATTAAGGCAAAACGTAAAAATAAACGGTTGTGTATTCATATCGAGAACTTATAATGCAGTAATGAAATGTTTGCACCCAATCTTGCTTCTTATACTTTGATAAAGGAAACTTTTTTTTTTATTTTATTTTATTTTATTATGAGGACCAATACCAATCCAAGAATGTTAATTTCCATTTCTTTCCTGTGACCAGCATACTAAAGTTGATTTGTCTCTTGCGGAAATCAGATTAACTTTTTACTGGGAGAGAGGTTCCATCACATGGTGCTCAACAGCATATACTCTGAATTGACTACTTTTATTGTCCCTAGTAAGGAAATTTTGTTAACTACTTGTTGGTGAGATAGGAAGTGGGCGAGTGAGACTTTCTTGCAGTTTTAGACCTGCGTTTTTTAATAGGAAGCAAAAATTGTTGCTGAAACAAACTTGAAAGAGAAACACATTTTATAAGGATGTCTGTAATCTTTCCTTAATTGATAATTCATTACATTCAACAATTCATAGTTGAATGTAAAGGTGTCTGTTATATCTTCTTTGATTGACAAATGCATTTTCTTCTTTTCTTATCTTTTCTCCCATTTTTTATGATGATCGATGTGAATGGGGACTTAGAACCTTATCACAACATGATATTTAAGTGTTACTGTCCGCTAATGCTATCAAATCACTCAAGCTTGTTTCATTCTGATACTCCAGATAATGGTTCTCAACTCTGTGCCATTTATTTATTTACTAGCCTAAAACCTGTCTGTCAAACATTTTCATGAATAATTTATAAGTATGTGCAAATGAAAAGAGTTGAACTTGACACAAACTTTAAACTCTTCTATCTTTCTTTCTTACATTTTCTCACTGAAACCAAACAGCGTTTCTGATAAGCCAGTTCCATGTTTTCACACAGTCAAAACAGAATAGCTCATCATTTGAGAGGTACTGACAGCGCGTAACGGTCGTACGAATTAACTATGAAACTAACTAACTAACAAAGGGTGAGACAAGTAGAATTATAATAAAGATTTTTCTTCTAGTGAGGATTTTCACATGTTGGCGAATATTCTTAAGATATCTTCTTTCCAACCAATTACAACTGTTTATTTTTAGATTTTGCTAGTCTGTTTCCATTTCTAGCCTTAATCATTCAACTGAAACTTATATACGCATAATATGACAAATATATATAATATTATTTAATGATATTTACACCAGCTAATTTTGCTATGTACAAGTCTAAATAGGAAGAGATAGAATTAGGAAAATGTCTTGCTCTAATCTTTTAAATTGTGAATACCTGTGTGCCTAGAAAATCCTCATTCGATATTTAGCTTTTCTCGAACATCGATCGCCCCTAGTAGCAGTCCTATATCTATATAAACATAAACGACAAGTAAATAATAATAAATGAGAACACCGACTGCGCACGCATGCGTGCACCAATTTCTCTGTACGCATGCGTACTCCAAATTCCGAGATTTATATCAGTTTTCAAACTACCAGCCCAAACACATTAACTTAACCTAACATTTAGATCCCCCTCACCATTCATATACTTTCCTAGACATCCATATTTCCTTGAACACAGTTTTCCCCAAGCTCTGAAATCATCATTGAGATTCTCGTAATCTTTTGGGGTATTTCACGTGGATGGGTGTGGGGACTTGACTCAGCGTTTCATCTTGTTGCAGTAAGTGAATTAGATTATGCTTTTTGTGGAATCAACTTTCAAATAACATAGTATCTACTTTCCCTCAAGAGAAAAAAAACGGATTCCATTTCTCTCTTATTAGAGACTCAGAATTTGATCTGAACCAATGATTGATCCGGAAGATATGCGCCTCCAGCTCTGGTGTCCATTGCAATAAAACAAAAACAAAAAAAATAACAATTTAAAATATCGGAACTTTATTACGACCTCTACAATTATAATTTCATTTTATTTTAATCTTGGAAAACGCAATCCGAGAGAAGAATTATTTTTATCTCTTCATGTGAATCAAAAGATAAAAAGCAACCAATATCACATTATGAAAACAAAAATCTTCGAACATTAAACTGATTGATTGATTTGTTTTTTACAGCTTATCAAGTATTTGCGGATTATTTAAAGCTAAAAAATATTTTTTAGATTGCAAGAATTATTATTTTTTAGATAATAATAGTTTTAGAGATAAAGTCTTACGAATTAATTCATAGCTCGCGGGGTGAAGAAGAAGCAGATTCATACCTTTCCCAGGGGTTTTTACACGTAAGTATTCATACCTTTCTCCGGGGTTTTTACACTTAAGTAATCATACCTTTCCCCGGGGTTTTTACACGTAAGTATTCATACCTTTCCCCGGGGTTTTTACACGTAAGTAATCATACCTTTCCCAGGGGTTTTTACACGTAAGTGATCATACCTTTCCCAGGGGTTTTTACACTTAAGTAATCATACCTTTCCCAGGGGTTTTTACACTTAAGCGATCATACCTATCCCAGGGGTTTTTACATGTAAGTGATCATACCTTTCCCAGGGGTTTTTACACGTAAGTGAATATAACGAACCTGACTGGAATTGGAACTCTGCTCTCCGATTAACAATTCCTGTGCCATTATCCATTAACACCACCCGCACATCCAACTTTACACCACCTAGTATTACCAAGCGGTCACCCATCGAAGTACTGACCTGGCTCGACTTTGCTTAACTTCGGTGATTTTACGGGAACCGGTGTATCAACGTGATATGGCCGTAAGCCTTCGAACGTTAGATACCTAAGGTTAACGAATTTTAACGCAAGATTTCCCAATTTTATCTTTGTCCCAATGTTAGCTAAGTCTTACAAAGGTGTCTAAAGATTACCCACCACTTTATTACTTAATTGGTAATTGCTTAACTGTAGCATATAGTTTATAATCCTAAGAAAAAAAATCAAAAAGTAGAAAAATTGTTTGTAACGTTGATAATGTAAATATGCAACGGGGACCCATTGAAATTTCCATCGGCCGGACAATGGCTACATCAAGTAGCGTCTCTATTGTTTTTCGTGCACATGTGCACCAAAAACCGGGAATCGGTCCGTTGCAAGTTCACAAAGGAAACGAAATATTAAAAAAAAAAATCCACAACTAGAACTGAGATCTCAAATCCTGTTTTCCATCACGTTTTCACTTGCTCGGATTAGTTATGTATGTATGTAGGTAGGTAGGTAGAAGGGATGTGCCGTCTTATTAAATAAAGTAAACAGTGCCTACTCTGAATAAAATAGATCAGCAGCTATATTTTCTTTGGTATAATATGCATTTAATCAAATAAAAATTATGAAGGTTACTCTGATCATTATGCATAAAATGCAAAATATTTTATTTTTTATCGTCTTAATATCTAAAGGCTGAGTAATAAAACCTGAGTAATTAATGACGACACCTGCCTCGTAGGTAGGTAGGTAAATAGATAGGTAGGTACGTGACACTCTGATTAACTTCTTTATTCAGCCGTGCTACTCGGCAGTAACCAAATTTCTCCATAGTGCAAACATAGCAAATAGAAAACAGAATGTATTTTCTTTCTGTCACAAGTTTAAGGATGAGGAATTGTCATTATTTACCCTATTCCCGTCCAATCAAAGAAAATAATACAGTACATAAATCCGAGCCCGTTCGACTTAAGTGTCTGTCAACAGGGGCCTATATATGCCGCCTCCTTCAATTCACCAACGATGGTTCCTGTCAATTATTTCACTTGGAGATGGTCCAGATAATCGTTGTAGAGTGGAGAAGTTCAAAGAGGCAGGATACCGTGTGTAACAGCAAAATTGTCCAAATCGTGGTAAAAGCAAAATTGTCCACTTGTTAGAGTAAGATTTAAACCGATACGTTACTGGAATTTTCCGAGGTTTTTATAACACTATTGGACTCTACATTGAATAATAATAATGTATAATTATTCTGCAAGTTTGTATTAAACTTAGTAAATTTGATTTGAACCGATACGTTACTGGAATTTTCCTGAGGTTTTTATAACACTATTGGATTCTATTGAATAATAATAATGTATAATTATTCTGCAAGTTTGTATCACATTCAATCTACGCTTAGTAAATTTGATTTGAACCAGATACGTTACCTGAGGTTTTTATAACACTATTCACATTGAATAATAATAATGTATAATTATTCTGCAAGTTTGTATCACATCTAATCTACGCTTAGTAAATTTGATTTGGAACCGATACGTTACTGGAATTTTCGGAGGTTTTTATAACACTATTGGACTCTACATTGAATAATAATAATGTATAATTATTCTGCAAGTTTGTATCACATCTAATCTACGCTTAGTAAATTTGATTTGAACCGATACGTTACTGGAATTTTCCGAGGTTTTTATAACACTATTGGACTCTACATTGAATAATAATAATGTATAATTATTCTGCAAGTTTGTATCACATCTAATCTACGCTTAGTAAATTTGATTTGAACCGATACGTTACTGGAATTTTCCGAGGTTTTTATAACACTATTGGACTCTACATTGAATAATAATAATGTATAATTATTCTGCAAGTTTGTATCACATCTAATCTACGCTTAGTAAAGATTTAAACCGATACGTTACTGGAATTTTCCGAGGTTTTTATAACACTATTGGAGAAATTACATTGAATAATAATAATAATGTTAATCACATCTAATCTACGCTTAGTAAATTTGATTTGAACCGATACGTTACTGGAATTTTCCGAGGTTTTTATATTACTACATTGAATAATAATAAATAATTATTCTGCAAGTTTGTATCACATCTAATCTACGCTTAGTAAAATTTGATTTGAACCGATACGTTACTGAATTTTTGAGGTTTTTATAACATTTATTGTACATTGAATAATAATAATGTATAATTATTCTGCAAGTTTGTATCACATCTAATCTACGCTTAGTAAATTTGATTTGAACCGATGTTACTGGAATTTTCCGAGGTTTTTATAACACTATTGGACTCTTCATTGAATAATAATAATGTATAATTATTATGCAAGTTTGTATACATCTAATCTACGCTTAGTAAATTTGATTTGAACCGATAAGTTCGAGGTTTTTATAACACTATTGGACCCACATTGAATAATAATAATGTATAATTATTCTGCAAGTTTGTATCACATCTAATCTCTTAGTAAATTTGATTTGAACCGATACGTTACTGGAATTTTCCGAGGTTTTATAACAATTTTACATTGAATAATAATAATGTATAATTATTCTGCAAGTTTTTCACATCTAATCTTACGCTTAGTAAATTTGATTTAAACCGGGGAGAGTTTTTATAACACTATTGACTCTTTACATTGAATAATAATTGTAATTACTCTCCAAGTTTGTAGCACACATCTTTATTAGTAAATTGCAATAAAAAACGTACTGTTGCTGAAGCAACCTTGGTGTGTCTTTGGCGGAGTACTACCCTATCTAAGTCTGTCAGAATTCAGAGTTTTCTTTCTCTTAGACTGGTTGCCAATCAGGCAATGGGCTCAAGTATATGCTACTATTTACCCCTATATGGGGGAGAGAAGAGATGGATTCATACCTTTCCCAAGTAATTTTTGCGCGTAAGCGAATATAACGAACGACTGGAATTTGAACTCAGATATCTTTATTACACCACCGCACACCGACTTATTGTCTTTATATAAGGTCAAAAGTGATGAAATGGAAATTGAAAGATTATGTTACGTCAGTATTCAAGTATATGCCTGCGTGTCTATAAAATCAGTATTGTAATCCCTGTCTTTCACCAAGGTTCGAACATGATTCTGTTGTACCGGCGGGAAATACGCAATTATTTCAGCTATCTGTCAGGGCCCATATCTTTTCTACAAGTTAATATGCAGTATTCAATGGTTTCTTCTTTCTTTCTTTCTTTCTAATACACTCCTTTATCTTTGCATAAAGAATAATAGAAAATGATGAACAGGGTAATTGGGTGGGGCATGAATAAATAATGGCAATATTTTATCCCAGAAATACATGCAGGAAGAGCATTAAATAAACTATAAGCAACTGTAATCTCTGGTTCCGTTAGGAATTACATTGCGATTTGAGTCACGTGATGATTTCAGTGATGCTTTCAGACTCGTGTCTAAATCATTGGGATAACAAAAAGAAGAATTTTTTAAAAAATCAGTGAAAAATCGCAATAAATCAACTTGAAAATTCAGAAAAAAATATGCTTAAATCATCCAGGATAAGCACATGGCAATACATAGGTAGATAAAAAAAATATGCCTATGTGTGTGTGTGTGTACAAATATATTGAAAAATAGGAAAGAACCGATAGGTTAATAATCCGAAGTTCTTTTATTATTTTTGTTTTTATTTTTAGAAAAAAACAGTGCTCTATACACAAGTAGAGCCTATATTATAATCATTTTTTTTTAAATAGGATTGAATCGCTACATAGGAATTACCATGATTCAAAAACAGAAGCTAAAAATTTCCAATTCACTTATAGAAATTAAATTAAATCAAAGTACCTAGTTCTGTTTCATCCTCGAGCGAATTTTGGAATAACTTATTTTGAAATTTACGGAGCTTTATAAGCATATACATTTGTAATATTAGTTTCTATGGATATGGAGAAAACCAATCATTTTAATTAAGAGCGTTAGGGTATTCATTTTCATTGACAACTACTCTATCAACATAACAAAAGAGAAAAATGGCATTTAACCGCACGCCCACTTGAGCATACTAAAGCACCTAGACTTTATGAATTGGAGCGCAGTACTAGATTGGCGGCAAGGTCTCATCATTTTACAGTTGAAATGACGAGATGTAACCGTAAGTTCTATGCTAACAGTGTCTTCTCTAGCACTTCTCGCTTGTGGAACTCTTTTCCGCTATCTTGCTTTCCAGACAACTTTCATCTTCAAAAATTTAATCTCCTGTCTTCTTAATACCTGTACTTTTATTGTTCTCTCTCGTTAATAGTGTTTTTTATCATATTTTCTCACACTCGGTAATCCCTGTCATCTTATTGACTTTATTGCCTTGCTTAGGGTGAAATGATTACAAATATAATATGAAATCATACGGATACATACGATCGAAAACTAAAATTACTAAGTTCTCTCGTTATTTTCCCAGTGAGACAACTTCAAACATCACTCTGACTCTTTCTCTCTTAGTACATAAAGGGGAGGTGCTGCCAGGTGGAGATAAACTCTGGCAGTCATCATAGAAGTTTTCTGTTTGAATATGTGGGATGAGGAGTCATCATTTACAATTTGACTATTGTCCTGATCTTTTTTGTCATCATCATAACGTTTCTGTCGTTATGCTCGCTGGCCTTCATCAGGTGTTTGTCGATCTGGATAACCTTCTAAGAATGTCGAAAAGAACCCTTTATTTAATTTACGGGTGTAAAATGTTCTCGTTTAGTTCGCTGTGATAATAGCAACAAAGGAAAATAGTCCGAATTTAAATCATGTACACAGGGGTTTGGGGTTTTCTTATTCAAATGAGCAAATTACAAAGGAACCTCTTCGCACTTTACGAGTAGATTGGATAAATACCAAGGTCAAAGTTTAAATAATTGGAGTAAAATGGTTTGACAAAGATAGCAGGAAAAGTTGATAACACCCTACACAATTTATTTAGGGGGTTTCAACCTTGACTACCAACTCTTGTTTTGTCGTCCTGACTTAAACTGGATTAAGCCCAAAGTCAGTGTTGCAAATCATTGCCAATT